GCTCTATCATGAAAAGAAGAAGCCACATGTGAATGTGACAACATTTGTGGTCGCGTTATCTGAAATTGAAAATAATTTTTCTTTCTGGGTGTGAGCAACATATGCTCACATTTTTTTCAGGCATGTCTTGTGTAATGCATTCAATACAACTGCATGGCTTTGCAGTAGAAGGGTCCAAGTGATAACGTTGACATTACAACAACTGAAAACAAATTTCCCACGCATGGGACTAATAAAGGTTATCTTATCTTAAAACTTTTGACAAATCACGAAATGAAAGATGCAAAGAAAAGCAGCAAGACTATCAGACAACAACATTCCTCTGCCAAAATCCAGCAACTGGTCTCCTCAGTTCCCAGACATTTACAGACTTTTGTTAAAATAAAAGAGAATGCTGCACAGAACATGGGCCTGCCGTGTTGCTGACATCAAACTTAAAAAGACCTTGTTTCCTTCTTTAAAATTTTTCTCATTATTTCAATGTAAACATTTTGTTTCGCTTCATTGTAAAAAAAAAAAAAATGGGTTTATGATCTTTGCAAGTTATCAAAGTTTTTTTTATTTAAGCACTATTCCAATTTCTTTGCAATCAGGGTTGTATTTTTTGTAATACTTTTGAACATCTGCAACATGTGGAGATGAATTCATGGAGATGAAATGTAAATGTTTTCATCAATATATCCTGTCACATTGAGGAATGTGGTCATGTTTGCAGCTTTCCTTTGCATAACATCATGCGAGATTTGTGAATGTGAGAATATTTGTGGGAGGAGAAACCCAAACAGCAAATCAAATGTGTGCCAAAGACAACACCCACCCTCCTTCTCCCTCACCATTGGTGCTGCCTGGTGTAGTTTTGAAAACTCAAGATCACCAAAATGAGAAGCAGCACCTTCCTGATGGCAGGACTAAAACTTCACAACTGAACAAGGCCTTTTGAAAATGTACCAAGTAGTTTGCATAGTTTATGGCCAGTCTATACAAAAGCATATAACACCACATGGTAGAAAGTAAATCTACCTTCGGTTTGAGTAGACATTTTAGGTTATGTTTCACTGCCACCTGCTGGAAATTTGCTGGGCTTTCTATTGGCAGCTATAACACCTGTCCAGTCTCTGCTGCACAGACTTTGCCATCATGTCCAGTCACAATGATTTTGGCAGTGCACTAATGAGTGTATAAATCCTGTCTGTTTCCAAGTGACGCCCAGCTGTGAATGTTCACTGCTGATCTGTCAGTTTCTCTTCCATTTTCTGTTCTAAACACTGGATAAGATTTACCCACTTGTTTCTGTTAAAATCAATTTAAACAGAAACAGTTTGTACTGAACTAAAGAAGCAAATAAATGTTCTCCAAAATGACTAGAAACAGCAAGCCACAAGCACATCTGTTAGTAATTATCATGTTATTCAGAGAATATGTGAAGTATTGCAAGATTAAAGCAAAGTCATAAAGTGATATTTATGACAACTGCAGACTCTGGCGTTTTGTGGGAACAGTTTGGGGGAAAACATGTATCCTGTTGACAACATGTCCGTGGTGCTGTCCATAAATAAAAGGTTGTGTAAGCTGTAGAAAGAAAGAAAGAAAGAAAGAAAGAAAGAAAGAAAGAAAAAAAGAAAGAAAGAAAGAAAGAAAGAAAGAAAGAAAGAAAGAAAGAAAGAAAGAAAGAAAGAAAGAAAGAAAGGAGAGACCTCCTTCCTCCTGCTTTGAGTGAGGTCCTGGCCAATATCACCTTTGGACTATAGTAAAACATCACAAAAACTTTTGTGGCTGAATGAAATCAAATCTGTGTAGTTTGTAGCATCCACTTAACGGCATGTCTGAATCTCATTGATTAAAATGACATGTACCATTTCCAACATTACTGTATTTGTCAAACATCAAAGCAAACTTGTCCTTTTTGATATCCTACAAGGAGCAACAAAAAGCAAATATTTAAGATATGTGTAGCCTCTTTCTTTCGATATGAATATTTGTTTATTCTTTAAGACAAAGACTTCTCTGTTTCTTATGATGATAATAAGAAGATAAAAAAGGAAATGGGAACTGTCGACCATGCATGTTTTTCTCTCATTTCTCCTGTGCCTGCACAAAAGGCTTTTCAAAACATTTTCTAATCGACCTCGCTAAAAAAAGCTTCATGTGTAAGGCCTTAGAAAAAACTCTCTGTTAAAGACACATCAGATTTATAGTTTCACATCTGTAGTGCAGCTTTTTTAAAACATGATGCCATTGTCTCTACATTAATGGGGCAGATGAGCTAACAGCTGTTAACAGTTAACATGTCAGACTTGTGTTAACCAAGAGTCAGTCCAGTTCTTGCACAATCTTCCTTATCTTTATTAAATGCTGCACTGTTTACATGCTAATAAGCATGTAATGGAGACTTATTTATGGAAGAGGAAAAGAGTGAAGGGAGGCACTCAGATATTTTTTCACACTGGCTCAGTGGAATGTTTTTTAAATTGAAAATGGATTCTTTGTTGATGAAAAATTGTAGGATTGCTCTGAGCTACAACCACTTGTTGATGCTAGGAAGTGAAGAGAGGAACCTCTGTGTATGCTCGGTCTTGAAGAGGCTTTAAACAGAAACTGTGTCTTCAGCACGGGTGGATATAACAAAGTAACTCCAGTATTGCTTAAATACATATCTGTATAACCTTTTTTTTTAATGAAAATGATAAGTACAATTTCTGATCATTCTACAGTTGTTTTTAATGAAGTAACATTGTTAGTGTATGGCTTTGAGTACTTGTTGCATTAGTATTTTTACTTGAAGTATTACATAAAGGACGGGGATAGCCACTTCCTCCACCACTGGTTTTCAGTGATAAAAAGGTTCTTGAGAAAACTGCTCACAGCAAGACGGACAGATTATCTGGACAAAGAAGGACTCTGGAGCTGCTCAAATCTAATTTTCCAGCTTTAGGCCTCACAAATAAAATTCTTCTGGCCCGTTTAATTGGAAGCAGGATATTCAAAACCTCAGCAAAGAAAACTGAATTACTATCTCATAACAAAAATGCTGATAATTTATAATAGAAAAAGAACAAGGGGCTCATACAGAAATGTCACTATTATGAATCATTTTAGTGTTTTTTTGGCAGCAAACAGAAGGCTTCTGTGGATTGAAAGTAGAAACTAAGTGGAGAGTGGTCACATGTGACTGGCAATGATGATTGGGCTGATTTCAGGGGAGGTCAGCATTGGTTAAAATGCAAAATCTGCTGCCAAAGCAGATTGAAAATATAGCACGCAAGTTTGACATTCTGTTCACAGCTGTTTGGACTCAAGTTAAAAGAGGATGTGCTCACTGTGTTTAGATTCCCATGGACCAAAATGTTCTTTGTGTAAAAAAGAAAGTACGGTTTTTATAAAGTGTTGTCAACGCAGACGACAAAAAGTTTTGATTAGGCAGAAATATTATTGCAATTTGAGCATCACCTAAAACAGGTTTTTGTACTCTTACATAACAATTCATTTTCTGCTTCATTGAATTCACATAAGGTTGATCCTCTTCATTAGAATTCACCATTGCATCCTGTTATAATGCTCACATGTCACACCTCCGCCATACACACAGAGATGTTTTTCCTTTAGGCAGGTTTCTATAAATCTCACTCAACTAATTATTATATTACATTAAAATTGGTGGAAAACAATGTGTTTAATAAAGCTTTAACGTTTTCCTTCCAAATGCAAATAATATTGCATGTTTATTGTAGAATAATGCAGCAATAATGCATGCAGTAATATATATTTCTTTCAGTTATATATAAAAAAAAATGCAAAAGGAAGCAAATTATATGATACATGATACAGCAGAGGCATCAAGCAGTTGTAATGTTGTGTGTAACATCCAACAACAGATTAAAGAGAGGCTTGATGCTGCAGTGTTACTGACCCGGGGGCTTCCATGCAGTCAAATGTTGATCAAAATGGACTAGAACTGTGATCTGATCCAGAGGTTTTTATTCACATACCTTTTATTCAAATTTTATTTAACTTTATTTAATAGTGCATCAGTTACAGTTATGTGTTAAACAGTTATTCAAACAGCTTCTTTGCGTCACTGCATTGCATAACTTATAGATTGGTTAACCAGTTGCCTGCTTTCTGCAGACAGAAATGACATTGCAGTAATTCTGCATCTATGTGAAGTTGTTTTTAAATGCGATAACAGCAGCCTCAGAGATGCAGATTAGTGATAAACATTTCAAGAGAAACATGATGTCTTTATAGCTGCAGATGATGGAAACCAAAGCTGCGAATGTGCTTTTTACATTTTTTGTAAGTGGTATGAGAAACTGGGACCAGCTGGTTAAAAGTCTAACCATTTTATCTCTGTGATATGAAATTTGAAAATACAAAAATAATGCTTCCCACTGCCATATGGTGCCATTATTATTGTTTCCCAACTAAAACCTAAAGATAAACTACACCGGTTTCAGCCCTTAATTCAGGTCTGAGTTCAACACTTTTAATGCTGACAGAAAAAGAGTCTAACCTGTTGTTGGGATTAGGAGGTTGTGCACTTTCCACGCCCAGCTATTTGAAGCATTTGAAGTAGGCCAATGGTCTTTGAGGTAAACGGATTCTTTTAAAAGCTCCAAAGTGAAGTTTATTGCAACAAAATTAATATTTTTGTTTGTGATTATTGTTCTTTTCTGGGGTCGGTGATCAGAGATTTTAATAAATGCAAACGAAATCGCTGGTTTCATATTATTAGGCCAATTAGATGGCTACAAAGCTCCCATCACATGGGTGCAAAGCTGCTGCCACAGACAACAGAGCCATTAATCCTTCTGCTCGCTGTTGTTAAGGCTACGCATGTTTAATGCACACTAAAGCGCACAGCCTGTTGCTGATCTGCACACCATCACTTCTCACTTTGTAGTCCAGCAAAAAACAGCCTCTTGGCGTTGCTTTTTGCATTTGGGAGGGGAAAGAAGGCGTGTCCCTGAGTCATGCATATAATAGCAAGGCGAGCGGCGATAAGCTTCGGTTCTCCACTCGTCAGCTCTCTGTACACCAGCAGGCTCAGCCACAACGCTTTCTCTACGATGGCCGATCGCTCATCTGAACAAGTAGTATTCAGCAAGCCGAAGGTACGTTCACAGCTCAGCCGGCTCACTGTAGTGTGAGCTTTAATAATTCAAGCGGTTTCTTTTTCAATTTTCCATGGTTTTACGCCCGGTACGCCTGCTTTGACACTGTTTGGGAACCCTATTGTGAGAACCCCCTCGACAAAAAAGGACTCAAAAGAAAGGTTTAAAAATTAAACATAAAATAAAGTTTAACTTTTAAAAAAAAAACCCCAACTTCCTTCCTGCTGTCGTAATACCCGCACTCAAACACGGAAAAACTTTATTTTTCTTGCTTGGAGTTTGAAATTTGGCTACCCTCCTTTAAACGGACAAAACCTGTTGTATGAATGAAAGGAGCCGTGTGCAGCACCTTTCATTTCAATGCTTTTTTGCCGCAAAGCAAAGAAATTGGGGAAGGTCTCAAAACTTGATCGTGGCAGTTAAAAATTTATGAATTAATGTCCGCTCGTGGCATAAAAGGCTTAATGCGCCGGATTCTATCCTCGCTGAATAATAAACAAACGAAACACAACTTTTACATTATTTTCCTGATATAGCTTATCAATAATACTTTTAAAGGGATGATACTGACAACCGATGACCATAACAAAGTTTAACAGTCAAATAAACGTTTATTAGTCAGACAGTTTGACATGCAAATCAGGCACACAGGCAAGAAGTGTATATTGGTGCCCTTTGGAGCCTGAAACCTGTTACCTTCTTAGAAGCAGAGAAAAAGATGTGGGTTCTGTTGCCATGTAGTGTTGAGGTCACGTGATGTTGGCTTGTGAAAAATTTGTAAATGGAGATAACCTAACCTCACAGGGTGCGGTGGCTGCTGGAAGAGATAATCTCATTACACACTAATATGCAGTTGAAGAGCTCATTGTGTGCAGCAACAACTGTCACCGGTTCACCAAACGGTTTTACTGTATATGCTGAATGCATCACAGTGCTGTAGTTCAGGATTAGTGCGGTATGTGATCATTGGGTTGTGTTTGCTAAACTATGGTTGTGTTAAGCGAATTAACTCCACCTATGAGGCTACATGACTTGTTTTGTTGCTTAGTTGGATTACTCAAAAAGAGTTTAATTCGATGTTTGGCCCAACCTGGAAGTTCTGGATCTGGATTAAAGTTTCAGTAGTTGCACATCACATCTAAATGAGAGTGAAAAAAATAAATGGGAGAAATGTTGTCTTCATGTTCCTGGGTCCAAGAATTTAATCTATGCATAGTGTCATATTTGGCAACCTGACATATGTATTTCCAATAATTAACTCCAATCACATAAAGCCGAAATACAGCCAATGTCAACAAAGAATAAGCTATGAGTGTTGAACAGTACTGTTATGACAAATTTTCACATTACTTTTTCTGCAGACTGGTGCTTAAAATTTCAGGAAGTTTGGTCAGACTAGTTTCAGCGGGTTTCTTTGCTGTCTTAGGTCTGGTGTCTGCTAATGTAATAATTCATTTCTTAAAGAAATGGCTCATAACACATACATCATGACACTAAACATTTTGCATCTTTGCATGTCTTATTTTATCAGACCACCTGTTCTAAACCAAACATATTCAATGTACAATCCTGTAATGCAAAGTAGCAAATGATCACCACTGATTGATTATTTTTGTTGATCACACAATATTTGCTTCATCTATAAAATAGCAGAAATCTGTGAAAGCGTTTCAGTAAGACTGAATACTGTGCTCTCATTGAGCTTCTGTTATGTTTTAATGCTGCACAGCTGCATCACATTAAACATGCTAAGGCAAATAGAAACATAAAGTTTTGTGCGATGACAGAAGTCAAATGTTGCTTCAAAATAGACCCAACTGGAATCCTGTCCAAACCTCTTTTTAACTTCCTATTTTAGGATTGCCTAATAATTACAGAGTAGATAAGTGGTCATTTTCTTAAAAAGCAGCTTCACAAACAGCTTGTTTGTGACACTGGTTTGTATAAGGCACACAATGTGCTAGAGGAACTGCTATTTTCCTGAAAGAAAGAAATCCCTGAACTTGAACTTGATTACCCAGCTGTCTCCTGTCTGCATCAGCCATGTGGATGCAATATTGCTGACACGCTCGGCTTTTGTGTGGTGTTGTAGGCAAGGGACATCAACAACCTCAAAGATGCACACGCATTTCTGTGGTGAACATTTGGATAGAAACATCTGCTCTTTGGTTACCATTGTCACACCAAAAAGGATGCAGCTACGGAGCTGTGTAGACAGTTCATGTAATAGAAGCAAATCTTGCTCCAACTAGCAATTTTCTACTAAGTTGTTGTGTTTCAATAGGATATTACTGGACTCTGAAAAAAGTCCTTTCAGTCTTTTCAAAAAGTGCAAGGTTGTGTCATTGAAGATTTTTTGCAGGCGGAAACAGATCATAGTGAGAAATACTTAATTCATCTCATATTTGGGAATTTCTATGCAGTTATACAGTTAAGTGGTTGAAACTTTTTAAATTTTCAGTTTCTTCTTTGATGGGTGACACACCTGCTCTGAGGAGTCTGACACCATGATTGCAGCAGAAATACCTGCATATCTATCTAACAAAACTCTTATGTAAAAACTTTCAGCTTCATGCTAACTTTCAAAGTCATGCGTACTATACAAAAAAGAGGAAAATATGTATTAATAATGCATACTTTATTGATCCCCATGGGGAAATTACTTGTTTTTCCTCTGCATTTGACCCATTCACTCAGTGGGCAGCCACTAAGCAGGTGCTCAGGCAGCAGTGTGTAGGGACGGTACCTTGCTCAGGGGTACCTCAGAGTAGCCGTTCAGTGGATTCGAACCCCCAACCTTCCGATCATGGGGCAACCACTCTACCTACCGAGCCATCCCTGCCCCGTTCATGTATTTATATAATACATGATGGCATTTGGTGGTTATATTGTTATTTATTATGTTTTGGCATGACAATATAAAACAGAAAAAAAACATAAAGCTGTACATGTAGAGCTGGAAGCTAATAATGTGAAACACTTTAAGCAACTTGTAAGTATTAATAGTTGCTAATTTTCTGTCTGAGTTAATTTATGAACTTTAATCTGGAGCCTTCAAAGTACCAGAGTTACTGAAAACTGAGTAGTGTTACTCATTTTTCTAAAGTGATCAATAGACAAAGACAGACTTTGTAATCTTTCCATAAAATTGGGATTTCATGGTTCTGTCACAAGTTTCACAGGCCAGCATGGCAGCACACTCAAATTCATAACATTTGATGCAATGGAAATACTGTGCTGATGTTGTTTTTAACATTACTCACAGCTTAGGCTTGTTCTTAGACAGAAGTATGATAAGAAGGTTGTGTGGCTTAACCGACATAACTTCATTTAATAATGCATAAAGCCTCTTTCTGTCAAGCGCAGAGCTACAGATAGGATATTGCAGATCTGTATTTTAACAGCTCCAATTAAATCATTTCTATTCATTGTTATTATTGAAAGTTCTGATATGAAAAATTATTTAGAAAACCGCACAGAGATTTGCCATATTTCCAAACCCATCCTTTAACAGGTGCCAGTGACATCAAGCCTTTGAATTCCCTTTTATGTTGGAAACATGGTTTCAACCATATGGGATGAAGCCAAGCTTTTCCAGGTGTAAAAGATGCAAACCCACAACATCTGGCATTTTCCAGGGAAACAGTAGGACATCAGAAATCCCGGCGCTCTTAAATTCAGCTGTCCAGGGTTTAATAAGTCTTTTCAGAGCCTGACACTTTTCTCTATAATATTTATTTAATGTGAAATATCAATTTCTAAAGAAGCAAAAAATGGTGAATAAACATTCCAGCTGTCAGAATTTGATGATTTTGGAGCATGAAAGTGAGTACATCAGCTTTTCCCACTGAGCCCTGCTTGCTTCAGAGCAATAAAAACATGAGCTTTTTTTTTTTTTTTACATGTGCACTGCAGCATAAACCTTTGTAAACACTGATAGAGGCGCACATGAGAATACAGCCAATGTGAGATTAGTGCTAATAATCACAGTGTGCATGTGGTTACCATGTGTTCTGCCTTCACCCTACCTCATCTTCAGATAATGTCCTAAACTGTCCCAAGTTTCTCTAATTTTAAGCTTTGGCAAAAACAGTGTCCTGTGTCGGTTCCCACTGCTCAATCAGAAGCGGATTAAAGCATATTAACCAGTTGATTAATGCAATAAAAAGATTAAACTTCTATTGAAACAAGTTTCAATAACCTTGCCTAGTTCTTTGCTCATCAACACTTCTAACCAGAGGTTAGAATTAAATGTCTGTGGTAGGAAAATTTTCATTTGAACCTCACTGTGACAACCAAGGTCTCAGCTGTTAAGGGAGGGGCAGAGATTTATCATTTGTCATCTGGTTGGAAAAATCAGCACTCACAGCGATGGAAGGAGAGCCAGAATACTTATTGTGACCCTTCGTTGGCACTGCTGGCCTTTTCACCACTTGTTGCTCTGTCATGCATACTGCATTCACGATGGGCTGCAGCCAAATCACAGAATTGCAACACACCCCTGCTCTTGCTTGCTGCTCCACTGACATCATATTTGTCTTCTATAAACTCCACCAGGTTTCTGCGTGGAAGTATTTTTGATAATCAGTTTATTTGGTAACAAACTTTCTCATTCACAGGTTGAGCTGCATGTGCACCTGGATGGAGCCATCAGGGTGCAGACCATTATGGATGTTGCCAAGTGAGTTAATATATTTAAATTGTATTCGTTTTTTATTATGGACGTTTAGATATTAACTGTCATGGCAGGTATTTTGGATGATACAGGCCAAAAGAAATTCTCCGGCTTTATTTTCAAAAGGCATTTGGCCCATTAGGAATTATGCTTTGGGAAATTGTAATATGGAGCGTGAACTAGGATGCCAGAATGTTTTTTACATAGTACCAAAATCACTGACTCTTGATATCGTTTTTATTGGTGAAAATAAACTCCTTTATTAGAAAGTAGTTTTAAATCACTGATATGGTCAAGGTAGACCATTGAGTAAAAATCTTAACATTATATTTTGTTGACAGGCCACAGACTGAAATTAGGATGGCTGTCGAGTCGCCTTCTAACATTACTGCACGGTGTAATGCAGGGGTGAGCAACTCCAGACCTCAAGGGCCGGTGTCCTGCAGGTTTTAGATCTCACCCTGGCTCAACACACCTGAATCACATGATTAGTTCATTACTAAGCCTCTGGAGAACTTCAAGACATGTTGAGGAGGTCATTTAGCCATTTGAATCAGCTGTGTTGGATCAAAGACACATCTAAAACCTGCAGGACACCAGCCCTTGAGGCCTGGAGTTGCCCACCTCTGGTATAATGTTAATTGCATTATATTAGCGTGAGCATTAGCCGTTGCAAACATGGAGCATAGTTGATTTCATCATGTCACTGCCTGCTGTCTCAAAAAAGAGGTAACTTGTATTTGAGGAAAACATATGCCTGTCTGTAACTTCCTTTCTTATCAGTGAGTCAGGGTGGAGTTATTGTCAGAGCTGCTCTCTAGTCGCCATCTTTCTAGTGTAGTTTTTGCAGTGGCTTGTGGGCATTTTTCTTCTTCAGCATGTAAGGGTATTACAAAAACATTGGCAGGTGTATGCTGTCCATGTCAATTCTGAACAATGTGAGCCTCGGTACATACGCTGCTGACACTGTCTGCGTTGTTCCTTAAAAATTGTAATATCAAAAGATTAGTTCTGGTGACATGCCTAGTGTAGATTCATTTAAGAAAATAATGCTACGGCAGCAGTTGTGTTATTTTCCAAGAGAATAAGTGCAGAGCAAAATTGGTAATTTCTTAGCTTTATTGTTAGAGGCCCATACTCACTGACATCAAACACACAAGGTAGCCGTGCCCTGAATCTTAACTACTTTGAAAATTTTAAATTCCAACCAGAAGAGCCAACTGCTGGCAGTTTGAAAGAGTGGAGGTTTAAGTCACTTATGCAGTGGCTTTACATTTTATTTCAGGAGGCTACAAGCTTCCTTTATGTACAAGCTATATTTTTTATGACATTTGTCTACCATTTGTTCCTAGTCAGGTAGTTCTCATCTCATTTGATTTGGCAAAATAGCAATATACTCCATCTCAGAAGGCTTGGGTGATGAATATCAGTCACCAAAACAGTCAAATGTTTTTATTCAAAGTTTTAGTGGTTCATGTCACACAAATTACTGCTGTTCCAAATTTCTTTTAAACAAAGTACACAACTCAGTTAAAAAACATTTATAAAGGGTAAAATTAAATGCTTACATTTCAATGCAGTTTTTACATTTTTCTATTTCCTTTTTTTGCCCTATGTTAGGAGGCGTGGTAAAACTCTGCCTGTGAATACTGTGGAGGAGATGAAGAAGAAGATCATTGTTGAAGAGCCTGGCACCCTCACTAGTTTCTTGGAAAAGTTCAACGAGTATATGCACGTAATTGCGTAAGTGCCACATTTCAGTTGCATACTTAGCTAAGGTGTTTCCCTCTTGATCAGCTGACCCTGGGTGTAAAGAACGAGTTACTAATAGCCTAGTTAAGCAGTTTGTTATCACGCTGACATGACAGATTTCCCTATTATGTAGCTACTACAGTCATAGTGCATCCAAAGTCTTTGAAATCAGGATGTGTGGTATAGCTGTGACTGATGATACTGACCTGGCAGGATTATGCAATATAATTGTGCACCATGACAGGGGGTTGATTTTAAATGTCAGACATACAGAAGAGGAACACATTATTACAGAGCTCAAGTTCCACTTCAGCAGCCAAATTAAAACTAGAGTGAAGTTGTTCTCGGTTCCTTTCCAGTGTCACTCTGTCTTATATTTAGTTCCCGCAGTAACTGGCCTCAAACATTTAAAAAGACAGAGTACAGGCCTTCAAATGTTCAATGGCCATAAAAGAATTCAACAATGACGGTCTGTATAATGTCTGGAATGCTTCATGCAGTTGTGCTGAATGGACTCTTCTGAATCAAGGCGCTTAAAGCCAGGACAGCTTCAACAACACAGGGAACCTGCTAGGCTGAGTTGAGCTTAGGCCGAATTGTTGTATGAGCTTGGCAGTGATGAGGCTGTGTGTGTGTTCTGAGGGGGTTACTGTGAGGACACTGCAGAACATGCATTCAAGGCTGGTCAATGAGCTTTCGCTTTCATTGTAAATGCTGGAAGCAGCGTTGTTTGCAGTCACATGATGTGCAAGTGAAAACGTGCTGCTGGAAAAGAGGGAAAGCTCTAATTCTCTCAGTATTCGCCCAGAATGAAAGTATTGTATTGTCATGCAGAAAATTATGAAACTATTTCATCTGAAAAGAAAGTGTTTTACAAATTCCCCTAACAAACGAGACTCCCTGGATTGATCCCAGGAGGAGAAACAAATTCCTTTGACGTTGTGTCAGAAAGGGCATTCAACATTTTGGGGTCCTTAAAGTCCTTGTACTTATGCTTCTCCAATGTGCACTGGATCTCATACAGTGTGTCAACACCAAGTATTAAACATAATTTCAATAAGGTGAGATCACTTGGAAGAATTTGTACATAATTTAACATGTCAGTGTAAATGATAAAAACGTTTTGCTTATTTCACCTGGTTTTAAATTGTAGAAGAAAGCCGAGAGGATCATTATGCACAACATGGAATAGTTGTCAGTGTCAGCGAATTTAATCTAATACAGATTATAAGTCAATCAGCAAAAAAAATACGTCCCGTATCATAGATCATATCAATAACACTTGAGCTAACTCCTAGAAATGCTTATACTGCGCATTGTGAAAGACAGTAATGTATAGATAGCTGGTTAGGAGTGGCCAGTGCTTTTGCTTTTTTTTTTTTTTATCATTGAGATAAGCTTATCAGAGCTAATGGGCATTTTAATTTGTTCTGTGTTTTTCTGTTTCAATTCTCAGTGGAGACCGAGAGGCCATTAAAAGGATAGCCCGTGAGTTTGTTGAAGACAAAGCCAAAGAAGGAGTGATTTATGTTGAAGTTAGATACAGCCCACATTTTCTAGCTAACAGTGGAGTGAAGCCAATTCCATGGAACCAGGAAGAGTAGGTATTTGGTTTGCACAGCTCAAATAAAGGATCAAATAAACTTCTGATTCATTTACTGGAACGTTTCTTATTGTCTTTGCTCAGGGGCGACCTGAGCCCAGATGAGGTGGTGAGACTGGTTAACGAGGGCCTCAGCGAGGGGGAGAGAGAGTTCAAAATCAAAGCCAGGTCCATTCTATGCTGCATGCGCCACATGCCAAGTAATGAACTGTTCATGCTCCTGTCTGCTCACACAACCTTGTGAGATAAGGTTTCTTGCTGTACTGTGTTCTGCCTTAGCCACTGCCTCAGTTATTGTTTTTAGAAAATAAAAATAAAATGAACACAAGCGCCACAGAAAAACACAACATGCTAACTTAATTTATACTATATAGATATAGATAGATATAGATATGCAAACCTTTCGTATTTCTTTCAAATGAACATGCTACAAATTGTTGGTCTCCAATGAGCACTGTATGAATGTCTGATGGACTGTTTTAGACAAAAGCACTTTGAGCTCATGAAATGAAATTGCTAACGTGACTGTGTTAGTTCAGCTGATGGTTAGCACTGCACTCACATCCAGAGGTTTCTGAGGACAAACCATCTAGGTGGATGGAGCCTTTCTGTGAGGAGTTTGCATGTGGCAAATCCACTATCGTTCAGAGCCTGAATGATAGTGGATTTGCCACTATTTGGTTATTTAAAAATCGAATATATGAGCCAATATTTTCTCCTCTCAGATACACAATATATTGACAGATTTCCCTAAAATTTGTGTAGATGTTTACGAGGTTTTACAAAGATCTTAGAAAAATGACAGTGCAGTGTAAATATATTTTTAAAAGACCTGGATTACTTATTTATTCTGCTTGGCTCTGCCTGGTTAGCTGATAAGTTTGTGGTGTACTAAATGTGCAATATAAATGTGCTACACACAAGGAAGCTACAGAATCCCTTCTGGCAGACAAACTAAGGGTGGTTCCCATGTCTGCTTTGCTTTATTATTTTATTTATTGGCTGTCATTAATAGTAATACTAATACATCAACAAGTAGCTAATATCAGCTGATATATTGGCCTCACTGGGTGATTCAGGTGCTTAACTTTTCCCACAGTCAGGTTATTTGGTCATTCTAAATTAGCTGTATGTGTAGATGGTAGTCCATCCCTCTGTGTCAGCATCATCTACCTCACCCTTGGCCCAGTGTCAGCAGACATACTCTCTATCCTGTGACCCATTTATACGTCCCAGAATCATGTTACAAACAGCGTGTGATTTAGTGTGGTGATGTTATGGGAATTACTGTCTGAAAAAGACCAGGGGTACTCAAAACATCACAGTTTTTGTGGTGTAGTATTTAGGTATAACTGGAGACCCACAGTTTGTAAACTATTCATTTTTCTACATCAGTCACAAGCTGTGATAAACCAGTAACATGTGCAGGGTGTTCTGTCACTCCTTGACAGCTGAGATAGGCTCCAGTCACCTACTATTACTGAATTTGATAAACCGTTAAGAAAATGGAGGAACTGATGATCATAGATAAACGTTCCCTAATTAGCACTTAAAAGGATATCTGAGGGTAATGAGAAAGCCTCAGGTTTTGGTATTTTCTCTCAGTGGTTATTGATTAAATAGCTCCAAAGTAATTAGGATTAATCCTCAGAAGGATTTGATCACTGAACATTTGTTGAGGTTTTTGGCCATCAAAGAAAATAACAATATTACTTGTATTTAGAGGCAAGAAAACATCAAGGATTCTATTTAAAAAAAAAAAAAAAAAAAAAAAAGCATTAGAGATCCACAGCTTTCACAGGAGAGGGCTAACGAGTGCTGCTAGTATCTGCACAAGTACACACTTCAAACTGCTGTATCAGTAATTCTAACTGAGGTAACATGAGCAGTTACCGTTAGCAGCAGCAGCACTGATCGTAGAGATGTGTCCTTTGCTCTACTCCGTTCCTGCAGCTGTTTCCGGTATAACCGCCAAGTGAAACTCATATCTGCCATCGTGCATTTTCTAGTACAACTCTCACAAAAACAGGCTGAAGCTGTTTACATTTTATTTTCATTTGTGACTTTGTGAACGGGACATCTGAATTTGTTATGGTTTAGACAGCAAATACAGATGCATTACCAGCTGTTGCATGCAGGTAGAGTAGTTTATGCTTAAACACGTTACAGTGCGTACTTACGTAACTTTGGATTTATGTAAAAGTAGAATAGATATGAGTGAAGTAATAACAGACAGGATGTGACGCACCAAGTTGAGGAAACACTTTATTGCTTTCGTGCTGAACATTAGATAAGAAACAGTGTTTTTGCAATAATAATAAAACCAGGAGATCAGCATGGAGCAACCACGTTTGTATGTTCAAAGGTTACAAAGGTCACATGTTGCTGGCACTGGTTTCACATTGACTTTACAGACTGTTTCATTAAGAACAAAACCTCTGTTATTATCAGCCAGGTGAATACAGTTATGAATGTTCATTAAAGTTGTCTTGAACTTGTCATAAAAGAAGATTAATCATGTCGTCACATTTATGTATCATTTAGCATGTGTGCTATCAGTTAGCAGGACCAAGCTGTTTGGTAACACATGTATGTTTTAAATTCTCCAGGCTGGTCAAAGGATGTTGTGGAGCTGTGTAAGAAATATAAGGATGAGGGAGTGGTTGCCATTGATTTGGCAGGTGATGAGTCTCTCAACTGTGAAGCCAATCCTGAACACATGGAGGCCTATGAGGTGAGCTTATTGAAACACCAGTATGATGAACATCATCCATCAGAAGGAACTTTAAATTGTCTTTGTTTCACAACAATGCCATATAATCCAGCCTCACCCCCTTCAGCTGTAACAATAAAGTATTATGTCATTTTTGAGGTCATAAAAATACCTTTACAGTTGTAAAATCTAAAAAGAAATGCCTAACTACAATACCTTTAAAAAAAAAACACCTTTACAGTCGTAGAGTCTGTCATACTCCGAGTGGCTACGGCCAGATAAATATAGCTGCTTTTTTTTGCATCATTAACTTTCAGGCATCCTTAGAGTATTGGAAGCTTTATTTTACAGCTGCATGGAGAGAGACGTTTGTGGGATCGTAATTTTCCACAGTCAAAATTCATAACCGTTGGATGCATTACCATGAAATCCTTTGGGAACCTTAAAATAAATGGTCCCTAAAGGATAAATTCTATTGACCTGCATTTTAATGCAACACTGTCAGTGAATGATGTTCATTCCTTACATGGTAAGATGTCTTACATACAGATTTAGGAGAAAATGCTTCTCAGATGCTATTTTGGTCATGCCCCGACTTTTCCTCTAGCACCACCGGATGTAAACATTTTTGCACATTTTAAATGTTTTTAGTACTTTTTAAGAAATTGGTTTGGTGCAAATGTATTTCTAAGTCAGACTGGAATAAAGACTTTATCATCTCACAGAAATATATGGTAAAAACTTCAGCTGGTACAATATTTTTGTTTTACAACAATTTACCTAATAAGATGCCTGACAGCCTTGATCGTAGTTCCTAGTTAGCAAGCTCGAGCATGCACAGACACTTAACTAAGCGGGTGATCGTGGTTATGTTTACACTTTGCATTAATGTTTTAGCAATATCACTGTGGGCGTGTAATCATTGTGGATTTAATTGGTGTATAACTTCTATGGAATGGGGGCTTTATGACATCGTTAGTCTATTTGCTGGTCTGCTGAAATATCCTGACAGCTGTAGGACAGATTGACATATAATCTGTTTTTCTTTGGTAATGCCCTGAGTTTGCCTTCTTCTTCTGGTTATAGGTAAAATGTCTCAAACTATTGGCCCTGGTTGCAATATATGATAAAGACGCTCTCCTTAGAATTGATCACTATGATTTTCTCTGCCCTTTTAACTATCACCAATTTTAGTTGCATATTTAGAGGAGCACACAGTAAAATGTAATTTAGATTGTGTATTTTATCATAATCCTAGTTTTCTTTTGACGCTGCAGCTAAGTACAGCCGCAGAGTAAATGTTCTCAGTGAGAAAGTTGTATTTATTTATTGGCATAGACCACTATATAGAGAATTTATGTACTGATGCATATCTCTATCCAGCAAATATGGGAGAAAAATCTAATTTCCCCAAACCAATTTCCTCTTATGCAGTGAAGCTTGTCAGAAAAATCCAATTTCTTTTTCTGCCAGCCAGTATTGATTAATTCTGGGAACACCACAGTAAGTAATCAGTTTTCCCTGTCAGACCTTAATGAAGGAAGTAGATTAATCACTTAATGCACTGAAGTGCTGGATATTTTACATCAGTTAATTACATCAATTTTACATTAATTACATTCTGAAAGACAGGAGGGGTTATGATTACCAGCATGGGTAGGTATCATATCATAATTTGTATTTCATACTTTTTTAGTATGAAAACAAAAGAGTAGCAATAATAATAGAGCTAAATACTCCTAAAGAGATCTGACTGTGGTCGTTTGTTTTGGTATTCTGTTGTTACTGTCAGTGATGCACAGGAGAGAAACTGTAGCAAAAATCTGGCAAATAGAATACAAAAATTGGAAAGGCAGGAAAAACAAACTTGGTGGTGATTAGAAATCAGAATCTCTTTATTGGCATTGCACACTAAGAAATGAAGTGCAGTACCCTTTAAGGTATAAACGTTATATACAAAATAAATAAAACAAAATATAAATAGGGAAGGCTAAACAAAAAGACAGACATTCAGAAAATGTGCACAGCAGTGCCTTCATATTCTGTGTCATCTGATGACAGCAGTTCAAACACATTATGATGAGTTACGTCAAATATTTTGAGCTTTTCTGAGAAGTTCCTCCAGAGAGTGGGAACTTCACAGCAGCAACCTTTAAACAACCTTTAAATGAGAAGTAGGTAGGAACAATTAAACACACGTGAAACAAATGAGGGCATTCGATTGCAGAGGCAGAAAAAAAGAAGAAAATCATAAAAACTTCAAAGTAAGAATCTAAAAACACAAATAACTAGCAAAGACTAAGGCATGAAAACACAAGTCTGGGGGGAAATAACACTAGAAATTATTAATAACTAATGGGTACCTCAAAAAGAATCACAATTTCAAACCCTTGAAGTCTTTTTGAGTCATGTGCAGTTAAACATTACAGTAAATAATGAGTTTAGCCTAAAACTTGTCCTCACTGGATACTTGAATCATTTACTAAGCTGCTGTTTTAATATTAATACCCCCCCCAAACACAACGTGTTGATGTAGTAATAGTATAAGAAAACACTACATGAACTTTCATCTGTGAGCATGAAAAAAATTCCTTTCAGTCACTGCCTCGGCTTGTGCGTCAATGAAAGTAATTCATAAGCTAGTTGTAAACCATGTTGTGCAATTCCAGTGCAGCATCTGCAGATGTTGCATGGATTTTGTTGGCTGGCTCATTATGCATTAAGCATCAACAGAAAGTACAATACCATCTGAATGACTGAAGCATTTCTGTAATGTTATTCAGTGTAAGGTAAACAGCCTGCATGCGTATATGTGCGTATAGATAGGTAAATAACACAGTTGCAGCTGAAAGTTGCATGCACTCGTCTTGGATATGAATGTTTGGGCTTGCAGTGATTTCTGTGAGCTGTTCTTTTTCTTTGGAGTCATTGCACAACATCCAGAAAAAAAAACCTGACTAACTTCTTGAGGCCAAGGCCTCTCAAATTTCTGTTAATGCTCGTGATCAAATACAGCTGGGCTTGTTTTACCACACTCATTGGACTGACAAACACATACAAATGCATCTAGTACAACTAATAATACCCAAATTTTGTTAAAAGTACCTAAGAATGCTCATGTTGACCAAACGCTTCCAACAAACTTCTGGCATAATAATCTAAGGGGTTTTGTTTGTATTTTCCAACCCTGTATACAGAATTTTTATTTCAGACAACCCCAAATAACTAAAACTTTGTGTCTCAAACTCTGAGTGAAGATACGTGGTGTACAATCGTTAAGCACTAGAATAATTCACAGAAAACCTTTCAGTGCAACTGTATGTGCATTAAGTAAATCTACAGTTTACATTGTATTCATTGCATACATTTTATTTGTTACATTTTTGTCATTCTTTGTTTTTCCTTTAGAGAGACATTGTTTTTCTAACATCTCTTTATGACGAGCAGTATTTATCACTATCTGCTGTGAAATGTATATACAAGCCCCCACACTGTACGTTAATTATTAACGAGTACCAGAGCTGACAGAACAAAGTCCTCCCTAATATTGAAGGTTATCTTCATATGTGATCATTAGATGCATGCAGTATGAGCTGATTAAGCAGGACACACTCGGTGTGCCAGAGGTTGTAGATGCTAAAATGAAACCAGTTCAAACCAGAGTAATGCCATCTCTATATTTAGTTTACTTCGATGACAAATTAAACATTCATTTTTATTTCAATGTGTACCCACTGGGGGAACGTTTATTAAAGTTTTCACTTCTGCCAGAATAAGTGTGTACAAGAACCTGTCTACATTATAAACGGCACTCAAGTCAGTGGTACACATTACAGATGTGGAAACCAAATGTTTGGCTGAGCTCTTTGATTGCTGCTGCGTTTCATGATTGATTTTGTTCCCAGGAAGCAGTACGCTGTGGGATCCACAGGACAGTTCATGCTGGCGAGGTGGGGCCGGCCTCTGTGGTGAAGGAGGTGAGCTGTTCAACAGTAACTTGAGACATTTGTGAACAGGCTGGTGCAGCCTACTGATTGTTTAACCGTCCGTAAAAGCACGTTTAAACAAAACAGTCAAGCCACATGTTAACAACAGAATTAAGGGCAGAGGTCCAAAGAAAACAAGAAGAGCATAGCTCTATGTCCGCTGTAGCCCAGCTGAAGGTTAGTGTGAAAACAAATTGGGAGTGCCTTTAAATTGCTCCATACGTACTGTGTGCATTTTAAGGAAGTAAGCAGCTCAACTATGAGACATTTCTGAGTGAGGTGGTGGAGTCATGTTAGTGCTTATATATCCTAAAATACCTGTAAATTAAACGATCAAGCCACACAGTGACAACAAAAAGGGCGGGCATGTCAATAAAATAAGTGTTTTATATTTAGTGTTGCCCATTTGAAGCCTGGTAAAAGAATACATTTAACACTGAGTAAATACTATATATACTATATAAAGGACGACACAACAACGGACATGTGAAGGTCCAACAACATAACAAACATGTGAGGCACACCCACGGCCAACCCTGAGAGGGCCCCTTTCCTCCAGCAGAGAGCAGACAAATTTTAGCACAACTTCTTCGATAGCTGGTTCATTATCATTGGAGTATAACTGAAATAAATTATGCAACACTAACTGTAGACTGTTGGGCGACTGCGGCTCATGTGGTAGAATAGGTTGTCAATCAGAAAGTCAGGGGATCAGTTTTCTTGGATCACTGTGATACTGAGCCTTATGTTGTCCCTGACACATCCATCGTGTGAGTGTGTGTGAATGATAGATAAAAGCATAGAGGTATAGATAAAAGCACTGCATGAATTTGTGCGAATGAGAGATGTAGCAGAAAGTGCTCAAAATGAGTAGAAGTACCAGTCGAAATAAAGTGTCACAGCTGCTGTCACTAATCATGCAGTAACTCGTTATTACTCGTTATAAGTTATTGTACAAAACCCTGCCCCTCTATTTAGATCTGTGCACATTCTTACTGCGTAGACAAGATATTTAAATAGAGCAAACTTTCCTCAAATGCTCACTTTGGGTCACACATCTGCCGCTCACCCTACACTGAAGCTACAGAAGTGTTCTCAGTTTCGTTTGATGTTGTCTAAACATCTACCTGGTAACACGGACTGCATCCTTCGCAGCTGTTGCTGACTGGCAGCGGCATGGTTCATTCAAACTCCTGTGGGGCCTACAAGGGTATACTTAAGAACCCAATATAGGTCTACATACTGTGCTTATTTTTTAATGTCCATCCAAACTTCTGTAGTGCATAACCACTTTATGTCTGACTAAAATAAAACGGCTGCTCTCTAAAGAACCCATCCTTTAAACTGACAGTTCAGCTATGGCATAACATCTGAATGTGCCTCCAGAAATAGCTTGAAGGCACTGCTGACATGTGCAATTTTCTACACTTTATAACCTTTCACCTCTATGTTATGAATTTCTGTTTCAAATTTAGGCTGTGGAAGTGCTGAAAGCTGAACGTGTTGGACACGGTTACCGCACTCTGGAGGACGACGACCTGTACAAAAAACTGCTGGCTCAAAACATGCACTTTGAGGTAAAGAACTGTGTGAAATTCTCAGCATTTTCATTATAAATATGAATCATACGCAAAGTTATCTAATCTATTAAATGTACTTTGCTCTTTGATCATATTGCTCATTACAGACAGGAAATGAGATTGTTCTACTAGATAATTACATTGATAAGTGGACTGGAGGGCTACTAAGTATCTACTTAGCGACAGTGATACACTGACCCCTAGTGGAGAATTTGATGTTTGCCTCTTTGTCAATTCCTTGCATCCTTTCCTGCAAGTGGAAGAGACACTTTATAAAATCAGACATTCTCATAGAGCTCTGTTTATTGTTTTAAACAGAGCTCAAGAGTTGGGAGTTCGCCTTGTAATCGGAAGGTTGCCGGTTCGAGCCTCGGCTTGGACAGTCTCGGTCGTTGTGTCCTTGGGCAAGACACTTCACCCGTTGCCTACTGGTGGTGGTCAGAGGGCCCGGTGGCACCAGTGTCCGGCAGCCTCGCCTCTGTCAGTGCGCCCCAGGGTGGCTGTGGCTACAATGTAGCTTGCCATCACCAGTGTGTGAATGTGTGTGTGAATGGGTGGATGACTGGATATGTAAAGCGCTTTGGGGTCCTTAGGGACTAGTAAAGCGCTATATAAATACAGGCCATTTACCATTTACCATTTGCTGTAGCCTCCAGCTGTATTTTCTGGTCTCAGATGTCAGCTGTTGATGATGGTTTATATATTTAGGCATACTGCCTTTAGATAAATTCACAACATGGCAGAATGTGACAAGGACACAATATTTGTGTCCTTTTCATGCAGTTGATCATCTTAAATAAATGAAACAACATATGAACACAAAGAAACCTTATCTTTAGAGTGCTTCAGCTACATATATACCAGCTCTATGTCATGGCTCTTTTATACGTCATGGGTAAGAAGATTTCTGCAAAGTATATAGCTGCGGATCCTCAATTTTAGCTCTTGCGAGAAGTTCCTCTCTCCTCCGTCCTTCAGATGTAGTTTAGGAATGAAGACATCCTTTGAGATGGGACACTCAGATTGATTTCACAAGTAGGAAGTTTTGAGGAGTTAAGGAGGTACAGAATAAAAAGAAAAGACCTTGGAGTAGTCTCTGATGCCTTAGTGCGGCACTTAAGGGATCTATGGCATCATTAATTCCAAGTGTGCTTTTCCTGCCACAAGTCAAAATGTCTACTGTGAAAAAGGTGTTTTAGAAACACCTCATCTTGTGTTTACATCCTTTTGTTGTAAGGAGAATCAGGGAAGCATTGAGGCGACCTTTGTCGTGATTTGGCGCTATATAAATAAAATTGAATTGAATTAGAAAAAAAAAGACCGGAATATTTTGGCCTCTCAGTTTTGCCTTTGCTGTTCTGATTGCAGACGTGTCCTATTTCGAGTAAGCTAACAGGTGCCTGCAACGCAGACTTCACCACACACCCCGTCATCACGTCAGTTTCTGGTTTTTTTTATAAAAAAATTTCAATTATTTTATTTAAATATTAACTAACTTTGGGCATCTATTCATTTTCGTACTATTTCTTTCGTGCAGGTTCATGAAAGACAAAGCTAACTACTCTCTGAACACAGATGACCCTCTGATCTTTAACTCCAACCTGCATCACGACTACCAGACAGCACACCAACACATGGGATTCACCGAGGAGGAATTCAAACGACTGGTGAGATCAAATGCATGAATAATCATAGCAGTAGTTCACAGGAAGAATTCATTTGAATATGGTTTGAAAAGAAGGCAGGGGGTGTAATTGCAAGGTATATTGCATCGTTAATTGAAGCAGGGACCAAACCTTCCATGGAGAAATAATCCACTGTTCACCGAAGAGCCTCAGACGCACCAATTGAGCTTCACATCCAAGTTCCACCAGGTTTGGAATAATTTTCCAAGAGCTTATTAAAAGGATGGTGACACTGACATTTTAATTGGCTTTTTTCCAAGAGCGAACTTAGATCAATGCTCATTTAATCTTTATAGCAGATTGTGAAGCTACATCCAGGAAACAGCTAGCATAGCTCTATAGAGGTAACGAATATGAGCTATAAAGCTCAGTAATTGCAACATTGTGGTTAAATAAAGACTAACATAATGTAAAAAGGGCACATTTTGATTTTACTGGAGGATTAATTGCCAGACTATTTCCTGACCGGGAACAGTGACAGAAGAGAATGCCTGTCATCACTGGGAGTATGACAGGTGTCTTTTCATGCCATATTGCACCAGGATTCACAGAAACTCTGGTCCAAAGTCACCAATTGTGGAGTTACATTTAGTTTTTTATTTTATATATGATAAGCAAGCATAAGTATTCAAAAGCACAACAGTGCCATTAAGCAGTAAGCTGCAGCATTCTGCATCATTTCTGCCTTCATCAATCTCATCTCATCAATCTTTGCTGATTCAGGACATTTATTGCAAAACTAGCAAATGCAAATTGTGTTTTAAAGATTAATGCTTCAGTAGCTCCATATATTTCTCTGTGCATTTATCATATAACATCTGTATATGAATTTGAAGATGCACAAGACACTGTTTTTCTCCTGTACCTCTATATTCACTGCACATACATGAGTATGAAACTTCTAGCTGACTGCTTACTGTTGATGAGAGTGTGACTAAGTTCCCAGATTCCTGAACCATTCCCTAAAAGTTAATTCCCCAGCTCAATGTGAAATCTGTCTTGTGTCTTACAGAACATTTGCTCTGCACAGTCAAGCTTTCTACCTGCCAAGGAAAAGGAAGAGCTGCTTAAAACACTCAATGAGGCCTATGAGATGATCCAGAGCACTGCCTTTTAACCCTGACCAGTAATTCTGAGGAGAAACCTAAAGCAGGGACAAATCACTCTGAGACCTTAATCTTCCATGTGATGCAGTGGAACATGTTTTTAGTCATTTGTAACCCAACAAACAACATACACAGAATATTACATCAGATATGCTGTTTACCAATGGGAAGCATCCTTCATCTTACATACCTGTATATCATCTGTTTGTGTATTTAGCAACATTGCATCTGATTACAAGGTGCAAGCACAAAAACCACAAAAATCAGAAACTATACATAATTTAAATTTGGCTGTGCTTTTTTTTTTTTTTTTTTTTACCTTCTTGCACATCTCTAGATCGCTTCCAGCACCACTGCTATTTTTATATTGTTCCATAGAAGGCCCATTGTGTACGCTTGTGACTTTCACCACAGACCTCCAACAGAGAGAAAACATCAGCTGTGATGGCACACGTGGCATTAAAGGCACAGAAGATTTTTTTTTTTTAACACAAAAAACACAAAATCTTCACTCAAAACCAGCCCTGGTTACCAGAATTGGCTCCCTGTGGCTTCATCTGCCTCGTAAAATGAAAATCTAATTGAAGGTGTCTGGGCTAACTCTAAAATGACAGGGAGAGGAGCTCATACATGGTGGAGCTACTCTTTTGCATTGAACAGATCTCACTGAGGTGGTTCAGGCAGATTCAGGAAACACCAGATTGTCTCTCAGTTGGCTTAGGAAAACACTGGAAGCTGTAGGAGGAGCATATACTGCAGTGGTAGGAAGACAAGGGGACAGAATAAGATGTCTATGAAGGAATCTAAAAACAGCAGCTGTGCTGGAAGTGGTAAAGAGATGCAGAAGAAGATAACCTTGAAAGGAAGAATACCCAAATGTACACTTGGGTTTTTTGCATTTTTATGGGCCGGATCCCAGATTTCTTTTTAATCATACTTAGTATTTGCATAGCTTTAATGTGTTAGTTATGGGTGCTTGTTTTGGACATAGTCAGGGTCCCCTGCTGTGTCCAAAAATATAGAATGAAACATATTGTCTTATATCAGAACTTTGGATATACAGGGTGAATCAAAAAGAATCATCCGATTTCAATGTGCTTTAATTCTGCAGCCGTTTACTCCAGACACGTTCGCAAAAGTGTGGGAGGAGTTTGACTCTCGTACGGACATACGCTGCGTGGCCCGAGTACGACACATTGATCACTTGTGAACGTTTTATATGTAAAATTTTATATTCAGCCATATATTTTAAACTTTACTGCAAGCGTCTATGTCCATTGTTTAAACGAAAATAGCCTTTTGAAATCGGATGATTTTTTTAATACATCCTGTATTTATCATCTTGTGTTTACATCCTTTTGTTGTAAGGAGAATCAGGGAAGCATTGAATGCACAATTACACTTCTAAGTAACAGGTTTAACACATAACCAGACTGGAAAAGGAAAAATAGGGGAGGTTATTTGTAGTTCACACCTTAAACGTTCATGTTTGAAGAAAACAATGACATGAAGGATAACTGAAAGCAGTGGAGGCTAAGAACTGCAAAATATAGTTCACTTTCAATATCCACTGTTCAGTTGCAGGTGAAGTATCGTAATCCAGTGTTAGAGACATGTGCTTTTTCCCTTGTATGTGCAAAACTTCAGGGCGTGTCAGGCAAACACAGCTCAATACCAAAAGTTTAGCCTTACATGTGTACACTAGGTGGCACACTACTGTTACCTAGATAGACAACATCTGACTATGGTTTTGCATTTGATAACTACTCTCTTTACTCTTGTTTGATGTATGTATTTATTAAAAATTTTTAAAAAAGCACATCCATTTATAACCACATTTATGGAATTTATAAGAAAACAAAATAAAAGCTACTATAAAATGTTCCTGCTTGCCATCATTTATTTTCTGTGACAGTTTAAATCAACAGTAACTTTAAATATCTTTCAAAGGAAGCCCGATCATTAATATGAAGTAAACTCTGTGATCTAATCATTTATCAAAATCCTCGTAACCCCCAAATATTGTAACTAAAGATTTCTTTATTGTATGAAGAGATAAATGGGAGTAAGGGGCCAAGCTATGTGGAAATGTAAACATTAGCTTCCTGTGGCCACTAAAACACACAAAAGCAGCGTTCAGTTTTATTTATGGTTCTGGTGCAGCTTAACCCCGAACTCATTAATCCCGGTTTGGCTGAGAGTCACCACCTTCACAACTTCTATGCCTGCTCTGGTTCAGATTTTAAGTACGGCAACCTGCAAAATATAGTTAATTATCAACGAAAACATAAAATACGAACGTTGCAGTAATTCATAAGTATTTTATTACACAAAGAAAATTGCTATCACAAAGTTATCACTGAACATTTAGCAATAAATATGAATTTCCATACACGACAGTAAAATGGGGACTATGTTGGTAAATATATAAAGAAAAGACTCGACGGTGAAACTGAACACCAGGATCACAAACACACACATACATAGAAAGAAAATGACAAACAGATGATAATGAATACCCCTCCATGACAGTCCCACATTAGGCTGGAGCAACATTTCGAGTGTTGTTATGAACGAATTCTGTTTAGCTCAGTCCATCTCCGCAGACCTTAATCCAAAGTTTCTGTGCTTTCTTCTCTCGTCAGGAATATAAATAACTAACAGAGTATAAAGCAAAAGCGCAGCATCTCAGCTGTCAGTTCTACTCTGTTCTGTTCCCCGTGGTACAATCGGATTCAATAAAAAGGCGAACATTTGGAGCCCCTGAAGCTCCAAAGAGGCCGGCAGTGAGCGAAAGTGTCCTCATGTCCAGTCAAGAGAACCAATACCAACACTCTCCATTTCCTTACTCCATGTCTCTCTACTTTCACCTGCTTCCTCTCTACATTTCTCTGCCTCCCTTCGGTCTCTGGCTGAGCTTAGGATGGGCCTCCGCTTCCCTGGGCAGCTTGGCTATTGGAGCCCTCCGCCTCTGGGGCTGGGGAGGACCCTGGGTCTCCTCCTGCCAGGGAGAAAAAAAAAAAAGAAAGATACTTTTAATTTCACTCTAAAAGAGATACGGCAATCCAAGTAGTAAGAGAATCCTGAGGAAGGAAATACAACTTCCTTCAGCAGCCCAGTGTTAGTATGATTTGACTCTTCTCACAATATCAGCATCCTGTGGTTTGATTTATCTCGGTCATTTAATTGTCAACTTATGGGAAAATTGTCTTTGACTGAAAACAAAACCAGCAAGAACAACCGTGTAACACACAACAATGCAGTCTGGTACAACTGACATTAAGACACCTTCCTCTTAAAAAGTAGACCTTTGACTAAGACCGAAGGATGCCACAACGATGTGTCACTGTGCTGCAGTTACAATTAATTTAACACTGAGACAACAATCAAATCTCACCGAGACCACAAACTGAGTGAAATTGTGTTTCTGTGGTATATTTTGGTGCATCTAGTACAGGCGGTGTTTTGTCAAAGAGATAAGACTTTAATGTGGCTTAGATCAAAGTAATAGCCTTGCACAGATAAGCAGGAATTCTTCTCAACTAGCTTCAGGATGATGAATTGTGGTTAAACTGTTTTTTTTTTTCCAGAGTAGAAATCACAACAGTTCTTTCAGCTCCGGTCTGGCAGAAAGAAGATTTGGCAGATTAATGGTGCGATTCTGGAAGAATTTTACAGATATCTGTGAGAAACAACAACAAAACAAAGGACTTCTAGTAGTGTGAAATCTTCATGTAGCTCAGGCCTCTATAACAGTCTCACTGCTGTTCTCCAACAGACTCAAAAATAGTTTTCCTTCTCAGATTTAAAGCCATGTCTTTATTTTATTTGCCTGACTGTAATCACAGAGGGATGGAGAAAATGTGACTTTTCTTTACTTTTAGACTTTAATTCATTTAAATGATTTAAGTGGCGTCTCATCAGCATCAATTAATCTTTCTTACAGTCAACCAAATACCCAAACTGGTCTAACCACAGACTCTAACCTTGTGCCTCATGCGTACTCGTTTTACACCTCTGAACATCATTTTAAAAATTCCTTTAAAATTAGTTAATAATTAAAATACAACCTCAGATGAGCAACATAAAAAAACAGCATGCTGTGATTTATTAATATTAGATAACAAAAATGAAAATACAGAAGCCAACATGATGATCTTAAAGAAGCAGTTATTTCTGTGCATCAGTAAGGCCATATCCAAACACTTTGAATAAGTCTATCATTCTACAAAGATTATTCAGCAGAAAAAAATCCAATATGTTGCCCAGGAGTGAATGTCCCAGTGAAACAACCCCAAGGTCAGATTGTGCAATGCTCGGAAAAATTACAATAAACCCCAAGAATTCCATTTCAGTCATTTCAGACAGGTCTCAACGAGCCTTAAAGTTCATGACAGTACAATTAGAAATAGACTGAACAAGTACGGTTTGTTTGGAAGGGTTGCCAGGAGAAAGTCTCTTGTCTATAAAAAGAACATGGCATCTTAGGTTTGCAAGATTGCTTCTGAACAAACCGCAAGACTTCTGGTTTGGACAGACGAGACAAAAGAAGAAAGGTTCAGCCATCGTTGGCAATCAAGTTGAAACTTGATCATGCATGCCTGCACTTGCTTCTGAAAGTGGTTCTACAGGCTATCGAATCATGAGGGACACTTACGGTAGTTCTTCATGCACAATTCTGCATTTTGGCTCAGTTTTTGTTAAAAAAAATAATGACATGGTGCAATGTGTCATATGTTACCGTTCATATGAAGTTGTATTATAATGATTTAATACCTTCTAAGGACCTATTGTTGTTTTAAATATTATTATTTGGGGGGTTTTTTTGTCATTATGTTCCAAATTAAGAAACCTACATTTAATGTTGTAAAACAAATAAATAAATAGATTAATCTTGCTAAACAACTGATATCTATGTAGCGTTAACAACTGGCTAAGGCTCCACAAACAAATGAGCAATCCCAAAGTCATGTCCATCTTTTACATACAGTCTTTGGATTTTATACTGTCGGCCAGTCTAAATCTTGCCAAGCAAATTCTTTGTTTGTAATATGAAAAACTATATGCTTATTTTCTCTGATTTGCTTTCACACTGTATAACACACATTCATTCTGATGTGGCATTACTGACCTGCAGCCTTCAGGTCCATCTCTGCCATGTCTTTGGTAAGTTCACTGGTGCTGGTCGCTACTGACCCCTCTCCTGAGATGTCGGGCACTGCGTTCCTGCGGCCTGTGCGATCACAGTTGATGAAGTCTGAATACGACGTCTCCACATCCATCATCTGCCCATGACCAGCGCTCTCATTACACCTGCCAGAGGGAGGAGGGGGTGTCAGATGGCTATGGAAGTGTTGCAAGAAGCAAATAAATCACTGTGTTGTCTCCTTTCAAAGCCGTGGGTGTACTTTTTCCACTTTATCCTGTGCATTTCTACTTCGGTATAGCCAACAAGACATGTAAAATACTGGTAAGTAAGTGAAAAATCACTAAGAATAACCAAAACGGAGAAAAAAAGCAGCTACTTAGAAACAATTCTACAGTGGAGGGATCACCAAGAGGAAATTAATAAACAGATTAATGAAGGTGTTCATAATTGCAATTTCTATTTTGGTATACAATTAATGACACTCTTAACATCTGTGCTAATTGGTCATCCTAATTACACTGGGGAAAGGGGGTCTCACTAACAGTGGGGCCTGTCGACTAGAGTTAATTTGTCTGTCTTAAACGTACTTACAAAAGAAAAAAGAAAGAAAAGGGTGAAAGCTTGAGAGAGTGCCAGTCAATGTGGAAAACAAGGGTAAAAACCTAAACTCATTAAGAAAAAACCCCCAGCAGGGATGTGGCCAGAAAGAGTCCCAGCAAAACAAAACAAACAAAAGCAAATCAAGCTCCCATTAGCTTTTTATTCCTCTTCTGCTTCCTGTTCTCACTCCATACTTAACTAGGTCATGGACACCGCCAACCACTAAGACACTACAGAGTCAGTATTCCTCAGAGACAAGAACAATAATAATACTGCTCCAGAAAAGAAAGTGATAGAAAAGATAAGAAAGTAGTCCTCTGATGCAAACATGGGGTCACGGAAACCCAGAGACTGCCAGCAAATGCCATCACAGCTGCTGCTCTCCTACAGCTTTATTCCCTGAAGGTCCCCCCACAGGCTAGCACAGAGAGCAAAGACCTCTCTGCTCTGTATGTGCAGCATACATGACTACATCTACAGACTTTAACTCTCTGTTGAAGCATTGTTAAGTCACAACTGAACAGCTAAACAGCAAAGCCATGAATCTTTAACAGACTTGAGGGCGAGTTGAGGAATGAGAGGGGAATAGAAATGAGCTGGCAGACGCAGAAACGACACGCTGACCTGGGGCCAGTCTGTTCCCAAACTCTTTCACTCACATTCCTTTTGTATCGTTCAAAGGGTCCCGCAATTGTTTTCTTTTCTTTCACAGTGCGTGTGCACCATGCCAAAAAGGAAGCACCCAGGGTCGTTCACTGAGAGGTCAGTAGCAGCTGCAGATGTAGGCAATGCTGACTGGGAAATCTGCAGTGAAGGGCAGGCTGTAAGCCCCCGTAGGTAAGAGCAGTACCTCTGAAAATGTCACTGAGTTCTGGACTACTGGCATTTCCCTGAGTGCTTCTACCAAACACAAGAGCCACTCTGTATTCACGACAGCAGATGGTGGTGTGATCCTCTGATAGATTGTCATCTAGATAGCAGAGCTATACAGTCATTGGTGACTAAAAATCTCCGTGGGAGACCAGTGTCTCACAGGTTCATTAGTACACCTAAAGTACCACCTTTTCCTGGAGCCCAAACAATCGAGGCTTTCATTAACCACCAATTAATCTTGATATTAGCAGGAAAACATCTG